ATTATTATTTTGAAAGAAATTAATACTTTCAGCAAGGACATGTTACATTGCTAAAACGTTATATTAAAGACTTAATAAAATATAAACTTTTTTTTTTTAATGAATGCTGTTCTTTTTCATTTTTTATTAATCAATGAATCCTGGAAAAAATAGCCCATCACAGGTTCCAAAAAAAATATTAAGCAGCACAACTGTTTCTAACATTGAGAATAGGCTAAATCAGCATATTAGAATTATTCCTGAAAGATCATGTGACACTGAAGAAAGGAGTATGGCTGATGCATAAGCATAGAATACGCTTTTAATAACACTTAAATTCGTCCCTCGCACTTTTTTCGGGGCAAGTGTGTTTCACATACAGGTTTTCAAAGGTTGGTGTGAATAAATCTAGATTCAACTTAAAGGGGTCATATGATGCGATTTCAATTTTTCCTTTCTCTTTGGAGTGTTACAAGCTCTTGGTGCATAAAGAAGATCTGTAAAGTTGCAAAGACTAAAGTCTCAAATCCAAAGAGATATTCTTTATAAAAGTTAAGGCTTTCACCGTGGATGAAGCGGAGTCCAGCCCGGGGTCATCACATGTGGTTGCCGCAGGCATCATATGGTAAGGGATGTAACATTTCCGTCACACGCTTGAGGAATTCGGCCAATCTCAACGCACTGGATAGCTGGCCAATCAGAGCACACCTCGCTTTTTCAGACCGATGAGCTTTGTAAAAATCGACGCATTTCAGAAAGGCAGGGCATAGAGGAGAAACAATAATGTACAGTATGTGGAAAATAATGTGTTTTTTTAGCAGCATCATATGGCCCCTTTAAAAGAGATAGGATAGTCTGTGCATGACTTGATGTTTTATTTGCATCCAGAATGAGGCTATGAGAGCGCTCAACATTCTCATGCAGTGTATGTTTCATTCATACTCAAAGCCAGAGGGCGCTCTTGTGCAGAACCTCCAAGACAGACTCATAGAAGTAATAACTTATGCTAGGAAATCCCTAATATGGCCCTGTCCCAAATGGAACACTTCATGTGCCCTTGTGGTCTTACGGACTTACAATGTTTAACTTGTTTTTTCAAGTTATCTCCAGGTAATAAATAAAGTATATGAATAATGCAGTGCTAGGCCTAATTGACATTGCATTTATTAAAGTATGTTCTGCCTTATTCTGTGATAAAAATGGGGGAAAAGTGTTTGTATAAACAAATCATAAAATTATAATTTGAAAATATAAGAAAAATATTATAGAATACAAATGATTGGTTATTGTCCAGCTGTGTATTTGATTTCTTAGCTAATTAAACGTATAAGAAATAAGAGAAAAATAAAACTGGTCAATAAAAAAAAAATTTTTTAAAAATATTATTATTATTACATTTGACATTTCTGTCCCCCTCACTTCTGAAATAATGGCTACGCCCCTGGGCTGATGTAAATAAAGCCAGAGGGCGCTCTTGTGCAGAACCTCCAAGACAGACTCATAGAAGTAATAACTTATGCTAGGAAATCCCTAATATGGCCCTGTCCCAAATGGAACACTTCATGTGCCCTTGTAGTCTTACGGACTTACAATGTTTAACTTGTTTTTTCAAGTTATCTCCAGGTAATAAATAAAGTATATGAATAATGCAGTGCTAGGCCTAATTGACATTGCATTTATTAAAGTATGTTCTGCCTTATTCTGTGATAAAAATGGGGGAAAAGTGTTTGTATAAACAAATCATAAAATTATAATTTGAAAATATAAGAAAAATATTATAGAATACAAATGATTGGTTATTGTCCAGCTGTGTATTTGATTTCTTAGCTAATTAAACGTATAAGAAATAAGAGAAAAATAAAACTGGTCAATAAAAAAAAAATTTTTTAAAAATATTATTATTATTACATTTGACATTTCTGTCCCCCTCACTTCTGAAATAATGGCTACGCCCCTGGGCTGATGTAAATTCAGCTTTGCCACCGCAGGAATAGACTGGCTGTTTCTCACTTCCAAGAATGCAAAGAACGGACTTGCCTGGTCTTACCAGTTGAAAGAACAAACTCGGAAGAACATGAGGCAGTTGGCATGGCAACTGTTTTATATGATGGCAACATGGCGGAGGAGGCATTCTGCGCTTAAAAACAACAGCATCAATGGCGCCTAAGAACGCATATTGGGAAATAATATTTCTAAAGGATTTTAAAACAGAAAATCGTTATTTTATATCGTAATAATATTTCACAATATTATGCTACTGCTTTTGATCAAATGAATGCAGTCTTGATGAGCATAAGTCACTTCTTCTTTTTGGGATCAGTAAGATTTTTTATGTTTCCCTGGAACATTTTTGGGGCAAAATGCCACCTAATTGGACAAAAAAATGCCCCTGTATAATTAAACTAAGCCTATTACGGCTGTGAAAAAGTGAAAATGTAAAAGTGTCAACTCATCTCATATTTCTTTTTACGTGTTTTTACAGTGTTGCAAATTCAAACCAATCACACATGATTCTGTTGAGCTTATGAATGCAATGGCCAATCAGAGGTGTTCAGATTAGTCATCACTGAAACGCCGGAGTTTGTTTAGTGCGCCAGTTTTGAGCTACGGAAGAGACGCTGTGGCCCAGGCACTTTCCGAGACCGAGTGAAACTGTTTGGCCTTCTTTAGGTGTGTGCTTAAATGGACAAGTGTACATAAACTGTTGTAAAAGTAATCGAATGCTAGTTAGTACATTAGATCTCAACATATTTCATATAACTTGACGCCATCTAGGCACGAGAACTACTGAGCTACTGCAAAAACGGAAGTTCAAAGACAACATTGCAAAGATGGCTGCATGCTTGTTTTTCTGTCGCATTTGTTGGCCACATACGCCTTTGAAGATGACTCATTTCAGAAAAACGACCATTATAAAATCCCAGTAATTTCTTTCTTACTTTGAAATGTAATGTATACTTCACATACGTATATGTGTTACAACAGTTAAAAGTTACAACTGGTATCATCAGCAAAACTGAGACTTGTTATGTCTCTGTATGCGTTTATCTGTTTCGTGATACAATCGCCTTACATCAAATTTTTTGTTTGTTCAGCTGATGCCATCATATACCACCTGTAGTTGGTCAATGTCAATAAATGACCTAGGTTGTGTCAGGTGCTCTGCTGGCTGTTGGTCATCATATATTATTTCATTGAGCACTCAATAAACACCCTGGCACTGAATGTGCTTTTGTGGTCATATAACTTTTTCTCATGAAAGGACTATCGTCTAGCAGACACTTCCCCAGGCTAAAAGCAAAACTGTGACAACCACATATTCTGCAGCAGACATAACCACATGCACCATGCTTGCATATAAACATGCTGTCTTTATCATGAACAAATGCTAAGTGGTTTTATAAGCGGCTGACGTCATATGCTGATAATGCAGGTATTTATTGGTTGTCCATATATGTTTTATTGGATGATATATAGTTCTCCTTGGCTGTTGAAATGTTTACAGGTGACAGCTGATCTTTTAGATTTTTTGCAAGTACTTCAAGTACTTGTAAAGTTAATTCAGTGTATTTTTATTAACAAAGAGAAAAGAATGAAACAAAAGGGAAAGCTCTCAGTCACTGGCATGGCAAGGCGAGGATGAGCTGGTCAAGCTAAGATGGGAAAAGGCAAGGCAGAGTGAGGGAGCCACACAAGAAACGGCCTGAGAACCACTGAAAGCTGCACACTCACACAGAGACAAGACAATACACCACATGAGCGTCATCAGGATCCTGTCATCAGACCAAGAGCTAGACCAATCAAAGTCCCACAGAACTGGGACTTTTCTTCTTCATTATAGGCATTTTAATGTGTTGCTATTACCAAACCACTTTAAAAAAAACAAAAAAATCTGTAAACGTGTTTCTCCTATAGTTTATTATTTGTTTGTATGTTTTGTCAAGAAATGATCTTCCTTGTTTAGACTGAATACACCTGCGGTCTCATCATCATGTTCATGTTTCCAGATTTCAATTCATGTTTATAGTCTAATATCTTATTATTTTTACATAGTTGTTTTTGTGTTTTAAACTTAATAGATATTACAAATTATCATATAAAATTATTGATTCTTGTGATAGGATCAACTTCATAGATACTACAAATGAAGAGTTAATTTGCAAAAACAGGTAACTCCATTTTTTTTTTTTTTCAAAAATCATGTTTTTTTAAATAAATTTAAGGTTTGAAGGCATTCCAATTAATATCAGTCAAACTGCAGTTGGGTTGTTTTGATTAAATAATAATAACTAAAAAATACAGCTAACTAACACAATAAAAAACATGATTTATGAAAATTAATTTAAAAAACAGTTATCTGCTTTTGGAAATAAACTCTTCAAATAGTACAGTAGGCTATTAATTAATCTGTTTAGTAAGATTCCTTTTATTAAATAATGTGTTTGTATTGGTGCACAGTACGAGAAGCTATAATATTCTACAATATAAGAATCTCTCTTCATTCAGAAGGAAGTAGCGTGTAAAGGAAAAGTATCAGAAAACAAAATTTCTTACATTGTTTGGGGAATTCATTTCCATTCTCTCTCTCTCTCTCTCTCTCTCTCTCTCTCTCTCTCTGTCTCTGTCTGTCTGTCTGTCTTTCATTGCCTTCCTAAAGCGGAATTTCTGATGAATGAGGATCTGGAGTGATATATTGCAACATTGTGTTGATGCCATTGTGACACAACAGACCCCATGATATGTAACTATAACCTACCAATTAAATAGAGAATTTCCATAATGTTCTGCTTATGTGTGTCATTGTTTAACGTAGATTAACATAAATTAATATTCAAAACAATTTGTGAAAAACATGCATATTCTACTCGGTTTTAAACTTAAAAAACTCAAAGTAATTATTGTCTGGTGTCTTCTAGATGATTTTCAAATAGCACTTCTAATATTTAGAAGGACGTGATTAATTATGACTTTTATTATGAAATGAATGTTTTCGCGTATTCGCTACTTTTATTTTGAAATAAGTCCTGTGCGTAAGTTGCGGAGAAGTTCATACACTACTAGTTTTTGTTGCCACGTTCACGTTGCTCATTAAATTTCGAATTTATTGAATAATAGAAAGGTCAGTTCATCCATTACTGTTTTAAAAACACTATGTTGCTCAATGACTGTAACTTACTTTAATGAAACCTTTAACTGAACGGTTGGGTTAGCTAGTAGGAAGCCAATTAACGTTAGTGAACTAATGTCAACAGAGAAGTTGCCACACTCATGTTTACATGACAAAAACATGCCACGTGTAATGATTATTTTGGTATTTAATCGCTTATTTTTGCATATCCAGCTCATTTGCTTAGCTATTGGATTTCCACTAAAGCGATTCTGTCCCAAATAGATATTAAATCCTTGGTTTCTCAGACAACAGCCTTGTGTGTGTAGATTATATATAGAGCTTTTGAAACATTAAACTCTGCTGTGGTATGGTGTTTGAAGGTTTGATATCATGTCGAAGGTGTCTATGGGTAAAGTACTGCTCCGAAATGTCATCAGACACACAGACGCCCATAACAAGGTATATTAACTCCTAAATTTGCATTATTTCAGCATTTTTATATCAGCTGAATCAAATAAGTCTTTGTTATGATTAAACTTCTAACTTCAGATTCAAGAGGAGTCTGAGATGTGGAAATTGAGGGATCTTGAGCAACAAGCCTCGTCTGCTCATTTCCCAAAGCAGAGGTACAGATGGCACAACCTTCGTTTATTGCTCATGATGTCTCTTTCTCTTTAGTGACCATGTGTACTTCTCATTTAGGGGCCGCATGCACTGTGACCGTTACTTGGATGACTCGGAGGGGTCCATGCGAGAGCGGCTTGGAGACAGGAGAGATGAGATGTCTGAGAGAGAGGCACGAAAACTGTACGAGTTTGAAGCCAGTGATCCTGACAGGTATTGCTGGTTGGTTTTGTTCTCATGGTGTATTAATTATTTTTGTATGCTTGAGGCCTTTCCTGTGATCTCTGTTCTGTCTCCTCAGGTGGGGCCACAGTGGCTTTAAGGAGCTTTATCCAGAGGAATTTTATCCTGATGGGTAAGGAGAAGCACTCCTGCCAGCGTCTAATGAATATTCCGCATATTTTTGAAGGATCTTTAAAGAGCAGAGGTATTTAACATGGTCTGTTGTGGTAATGCAGGGGTCCATTATTCTTTGATGATTACATTGACATTATTGTTAATCTTGACAGAAATTCTGTGAAGCAATTTACAAAAAAACATTCTAAAATAAAATAAAAATACATCACATTTAATTCAAAGTAAAATTATAATATTGTATACTGTGTGTAAATCCAAAAGAGTCTATTTTTCCATTTAATCTTAAAATAAATAATTTTATGAAGTAGGGGTCACCAATTATGGTTTAATCTTAGACTACATTTTGTGGGGAAATTGAATAAAAAACAAAGTTTAACTAAATGTTTCACTATCCAAATTAAAATGTATTCTGTAAAATGAAAATGTAATTTACAAATATATGTATGTACATTTATAATGATTATTTGTATGGCTTTGCAATGTAACCAACAGAGAAAAACATGTAAATACAAAGGTTAATGAACGACTACTCTTTTTTTTATTTTTTTTTTATTTTAATTTAATTATGTTTTCTAAAGAATTAAATAGTCATAAATCATGTAATATATTTTAATTATGAATTTATTTAATAATAAAGTAATGTAGAACTTAATTCTAGAATAATTGAATTCATAATCTCAATATATAAAATTATTTAAAATATTCCAGCAGCATATTTTGCTTGTTTAATGCTATATTTATTATTTTATTTCAGGGGAAAAGACTGCAGCAATAGTAAACACAAAAGGAAAAAACACAAGAACAAACTAGACGCTGACATAGAGAAATCTTCCAAGAAGTCGTCTAAGAAGAAGAAAAAGAAAAAGGAGAAGAAGGGAAGGAAGACTGCTGCCTCGGGCTCTGAGACCTGCAGCGATGCAGAGGACACCGTCAGGAGGAAACAGAGGAGGAAGGGAGGTAAGAGCAAGCGGAGGAAAAAGGAGCACAAAAACAAAGACAGCGACACAGAGGACAGCCATTCAGACACAAGGACGAGAACCCACAGGAAGAGAGACTGCCCTGAAACGGACACGCTGACCGAACCTCAAAGGAAAAAGCGGAAAAACTGGAAAGTGGCGAATGAGGAGAGATCAGAGGAGAGCTCTGATGCTTGACTTTTCAATATTACCCGTCTGCTTGACTATGCTAACTCTAGACACATTTTTTTTATTTGGGAGACTCTGATCATGGGTCTGGAGTCATTAACTTGATCTTTATACCTCATCAAACAGACACTTGATGGCTTTTTTCACCATGTTTGCATCCAGGAGAATTTGTCTAATTTTTATGAGGTTGCATTTTCTAAACATTTTTATATATCTCTGAACATGTTTTTTTTATTACTCGTCAGACTGAACAATTTTTATTGTCATAAAAAAAACTCAGGTATTCTTCTACCATGTGTGAAATTGAATTGGATTGATTTTTTTATATACTTGTATACTTGAACCTGTCAGGTATGACAATACAATTGTATGTGTGTGTGTGTGTGTGTGTGTCTGTCTATATATATATATATATATATATGTATGTATAAATAAATATAAATATATTATATTATATATATATATATTAAGTATAAATAATTAATTATATATATATGTGGCCTAATGGTTAGAGAGTCGGACTCATAACCCAAAGGTACCGGCAGGGATTGTAGGGGGGGGGAGTGAATGTACAGCGCTCTCTCCCACCTTCAATACCACGACTGAGGTGCCCTTGAGCAAGGCACCGAACCCCCAACTGTTCCCCGGGCGCCGCAGCATAAATGGCTGCCCACTGCTCCGGGTGTGTGTTCACGGTGTGTGTGTTCACTGCTGTGTGTGTGCACTTAGGATGGGTAAATGCAGAGCACTAATTCTGAGTATGGGTCACCATATTTGGCCACATGTCACGTCACTTTTTTATTGTTTTATTTTTTATTTTTTATTTGTGTGTTCAGTTCGAGTAACTGAATGTGTCATATGGCAGTTGTCCGGAAGGTGGCACTGTTGCACGTCAGACGACGATCTCAAATCGAGGCTGCCTGCCTGATTGTCTTTTAATGACTTGTTTTGAACGTTTGCTTGTAAACACCTACAGTAAATGGTATTTCGCTACTGTTTACTTCCGACATTTACGGATAATGGCTACTTCCCCTTGCTAACGTTTTCGCTTTCACTGATTAATTTGCACTAAACTGCCAAAGGTCAAACATTCATGTCATATAGATGTAATTATATCATTAAAGCTGACTTTGGAACAACAGGTATTTATTAGTAGCTGAAGTCCCCTCGGAGGAGTTGACTTGTTTGTCAGTGTTTACCGTTATTGCTCCACGTGCGTCGTACGAGCGGTGTGTGGATGACCGCTCATTATCCTGCATCTTCCGCAGTAAACACGGAGCAGCCGGCGGTGTGTGGATGACCGCTCATTATCCTGCATCTTCCGCAGTAAACAAGGAGCAGCCGGCGGTGTGTGGATGACCGCTCATTATCCTGCATCTTCCGCAGTAAACACGCAGCAGCCGGCGTAAAGAACATTGCGTCTCTATGGTAATGAACACTGCCCTTTCCTAACAGCCCCGCACGACGACTCATTACAACTCTGAAAATGATCAAACACTTGAAAGCTGCCTCGCTTTATAATGAAATCAAATTAAATGTGGCCAGCTTTCATCAGATTGAGCTGTTCTGTGTCTTCATTAACACAGCTCAGAGGAACACGCTGTTCAGACATGATTTTGCTGAGGGGAATTTCAGGCTGATCCGTTAAAGGTTGTGCCCTTTTGGTCTCTTTGTAACTGTTCCAATTCATACTGTGATGGTTTTGTCCAATTTGATGCCCCTTCATTCATTGACACCAAACCAGCGTGTTCCTTTTAATTCATAATTCATATAACTTTCCTTCAGCATTATTTCAGAATGATCATCATATCATCATTAAAAAAAATCTGCTAAAAGCAGTTAATACTGTGGGCGAAAAACAGATTCAAATGGAAGTAGTTTAAGAAATGTATTGTTTTTCGTTTAGTTTCGTGTTAGTTTGCTTGCTTGAGACATTTGATGGAGTGCTGGGAAATATGAGTAAAGCTGCTGATAAAAGTGTCTCCTATACAAAGTAATAATGTTTTATTTATATGCCACCGTTCTATAACCAAAATAAAGCAATACGCCCCGTGAAGCTGTGGTTTACAGTGAATTTATAACAGCTAAGGGGCGTTGTTAGACATGAAGCGGAGTGCCTAAAACCCCCTTAGCTGTTATAAATTCACTGTAAACCACAGCTTCACGGGGCGTATTGCTTTTATTAAACGGTTATTCCATAAACGTAGTTAGGTTTCACAAAATAAGCAACGGGGGGTGACAAGGTATCACAGTTTCCACAAAGATATTGAAATGAAAGAAAATGTGTAAATAAATGATATTTTAAAATGTATTCTAATAGAAAACAATTATTTTAAACTGCAATAATATTTCACAATATTACCTTTTTTATTGTAATTTTGATCAAATAAATGCAGCCTTACATGGTAGTGTAACTGAACATGTTAAGCCACTATAATAAATCTTTTGTCAGCCCTATAATTGTTTGATATTAGTCATCATTTATGCTTTCTAAGTTTAACAAAGCAAAATCTTCCCCTGAGGAATCAGCTGCATAATTTGTCTACTTGCTGTTTGTTCAGTAGAAGTCTGGACACAGTTGATGAAGAACCTCAGATTTTGCCTAGAAGGAAGAACACTGATCTCATGTTTTTATTTGATTCACATTACACTACAATTACACAATTGTGTGGGGTATGTTCCTTCTTCACGTTAACCATGTCAGAACTACCTTAGCCATGCAGGTCAATCCAATAATCCTTCTTCTGCCTGCAGAGCACTTCATATTTACGTCATATTGTGACGGTGTAGAGATGCTTGTCTCTATCATAAGATGAGAGCGCATTACCAGAAATTGGGTTGAGTTATTTCAGGATATTCCTCACAATATTAAAACACATTATTCTGGAATGAGCTATGGTTTTTGAGTTAAATGTAATCTGTAGCTGTTGGTCTGGTCTATATTTGACATTGGTATGATTTACAGAGGATCAGATGAGTGCATCACTGTGTATATTGCATATAGGTAGAGATTACACTGAAGTGTGCATGTGCTTTTAGCTCTTTATTGTCATCATATCTGTGATGTGTTTTATAAAAATCCCATTCAGGTTGGTTCTTGGAGGCGGATGATAAGTATTGCTTCTAAGTATCATTTTATCGAAGCTAGAAAAAGATCATATCCTGAAGAGGATTAAAAAAAGAGCCAAACGGAGGAAGTATGATGCATTCTCAAAGTTGGTGGTACTGAGTTGTAGTGATTCCCTCCAGTGAGTTTGTTTATGAATCACCTACTTCATCTATGTGGTCAGTCATTCATTCAAGCTTTAATAATAGCTTCTTACGCCAACATTAAATGATGGCTGGCATTTATTATATTTTGATTGATCCATTCTTTTTCATTCAAAGCAACTTATAAAAGAAGAAAAACACTATTAAATACACTATTACACTATTGTCAAAATGGTCTATTGTCAATAGCGTGGCAATGTATGAAGCTTTGCTCACACAGAAGTCACTTTCAAACCAAGCATCTTTCTGTTGTTCATCACAAATTCACGTGACCAACGTGAAGCCGTTGTGAAATCTGGGGAAATCCTTAGCCTTCATGTGAAATTGCTGATTGTGTGAATTCCTGTTGTGGTACCATTTATACAATAACCATTGATCAGCAAATTTTCATGGGCAAAATCAAAAGTAATTTCAATAGGAATCCATGCGATTTGCACTAGGGTAAAAAAAATTCCCAACGCAGATTTCGCAACAGGTACAGTTGCTTGGTTTGAAAGTAATTTCTGTGTGAGCTGAGACAATGGAGCTTTTTTTTTGCCCATGAAATTTCGCTACTGTGAGCGCAACTTATTTGCCCACAAATATTTACAGAACAACAGTAATTTTGCAAAATCAAAGAGTTAGTGATGTCATTTGGAACAAAATCAGACCAAAACGAAATTTGATTGTAAGTTGTTTCCGAAATCGAGCTTTCTGAAAAAGTGTTTTCCAGTTGGTAAACACCTTTGAATTACCATTGTTCCACGGCAATGACGTATTGAAAACAAAAATAACAAAAAATAGCATTCACGAGAGTACCATGAAGCATGCATGTAAACATGCGGCGAAGACTGACACGGAAGAGCAGAAATGGTTGAACTACTGATGTCACATGGACTATTTTAACAATGTCCTTACTACCTTTCTAGGCCTTGAACATCTCAGTTACTTTGCTGTCTATGCAGGGTCAGAAATCTCTTGGATTTCATCAAAAAATATCTTAATTTCTGTTTTGAAGATCAACGAAGGTCTTGCAGGTTTGGAACGACAAGAGTGAATAACTCATTACAGAATAAAACATTTTTGGTGAACTATCCCTTTAAGTTGAAATTCTAATTAAAAGTGACACTGAGATGGTTTTTATGTTTAATACTGTAAAGCTGCTTGCTTTAAAGCAGTCTATTTTATAAAGTTCTAAAAAATAAACATGACTTGACTGGAGTGCTGAATTTCAAACATGTTCACATCACTATGGTTGAATACTTTCTTAACTGCCGTTTCCTCACTGCTGTCATTCTTTTTAGTTCTGTGTTTATTTTTCCGGTATTTGGGATGTTTGCTAACAGTAGACCATTGCAAATATATTTCCTATTTTTACCCCTAAAAGAAGAATGAAAAAGAACAAACTTTGCCTTGAGTATCGGTGCATTAAATGTGACCACAGCTTAATACTGATTAATACTATTAATGCCAAGATTTAGGACCTTCTTTATGACATTCTTGCAGCTACAGTTTAGCATAGAAAATCTGATCAGATTATTTTTTTGCTGGTTTAAACAAATTATAATAAAAATTTCTCAAGGTGAAGTCAAATGACATGTGGTTTAAGCATGGTGGACCAACTTCTTTTTACCCCTAAAAGAAGAATGAAAAAGAACAAACTTTGCATTGAGTATCGGTGCATTAAATGTGACCACATCTTAATACTGATTAATACTATTAATGCCAAGATTTAGGACCTTCTTTATGATATTCTTGCAGCTACAGTTTAGCATAGAAAATCTGATCAGATTATTTTTTTGCTGGTTTAAAAAAATTATAATAAAAATTTCTCAAGGTGAAGTCAAATGACATGTGGTTTAAGCATGGTGGACCCCATATATATATTATATATTTAAATGGAATTTAAGATATTGTACTGCATGTTATCTTTGCTTATCTTGTTATCTAACCACAGTTCCAACCACGCAAGTTTGCAGTACTATTTGCGAATGTTTGTTTGAACTATGGCTTGGGGGAAATACAGAATCGTTGAACTATGTTGGTAATGACAGAACTTGCAAGTTGGCTAATGATGCTTTTGGGAAATGCACCCTTGTTTGGTTAAGACATTGCTAAATGCTAAGGAGTTCAGACTTCTTTTTTTTTTGGCTTGTTGATGCATGGTAGGTAGCGTGTAGCTCAGGTATTTTGGACAGTTACTAGTGGTGCATTTGAAATCATGTGCTGTCTGAGTAGGAACTATATTTGAATTTGAACTTACTTCATGATTGTTAAAAACGTACTACATCTGCCATGTTGTCATTGCATGTGACCTACCAGCATCAGCTGTGTCACTTTAGAATCATTAATCCTAAATGCCATAAAACTTTAATTCCTTCAGAATCCCGGCAGAAGTAGAAGGTCATCTAGGTCGTTTTTGCTTACTGTTTTGCGAATACTATAAATTCAGACATTCTACTCTTTTGGTTTTTTGAGGCAAAGGTCAGGTGAGTGCTGTTATGAAATTACAGCATTTCAGTTATATGTAATCAGTTATTTCAAACTGATTCAAAGTTAAACATATCTAATGTGAGTTTGAATGTCATATTGCATGGCATTTAAAGCCATACTGAAAGCAACAACAGATAGTTTACCTCAGATCTAGAAAATAAATTAAAGCAAAGATGTACATTAAAACTGTAAACTCACTGCGAACCAATGAATGTATTCCATAACAAAGATGGTATCAGTCACTCAGTATGTACATTTAATAATTGCATACTACATAGAAGTATATGATTTTGGATGCAGCGTAGGTGTTCTGAGCAGTTTTTAGCAAAATGCTATGCAGTTGTGCTTACAGCATTTCTAGGTGGCTGCTAAATAGTTCTGAGTGGAATTTAGCATGTTGTTGGGCAGTTTCTAGGGTGTTCTGGTTGCTTAAGGCTATGACTAATATAGGCCTAAATGTTTTAAATTATGTAATGAAAGTCTACTCTAAAAATTGGATCAGACAGATGACCTTATTACAGCCTGGGTTTCATAACGGCACTCGCCTAACCTTTGCCTCAAACATCACACTCTGCTGTGTTGTTTCATAATATAAAAGGTGTTTGAGCAACCAGTCCCTTGTGTTCAGTTCAAAGTAATCCAGGGCACATTTTGGCCCAAAAAACACCCATCAGCAGCACGATGCTTCTCCATCACCTCTGTTAAATACTCATTGGCCTTATGGCGTGACGTCAATGAATGTCTTTGCTATACTCAGAAAACAGAGGAGGAAATGGATGTATGATCCAGGGGGGAAAACAGCTTTCAAGAAGCTTTGATTTGAGCAGTCAACCCCCTGCCCTCCCTCACTTTCACATCTCTGCTATCACACCTCCGCCTGCACAGCCTTATGGGACGCAGGTTTGACGTCAGCAAGTGTCAGCTCAGCCCATAGTCTGCCTCTGCTGCTAAATGGCTGCAGTAATTGATTCGGAAGAGCAGAGCAAGCCTCCAACTAATTGGTCTGTGGCAGCAGCTGCTCTGTTTCAGGTCTCTCCTCACATCTTCTCCCAGTTCACGTCAAACAAACAGAGCAACGCACTTTTATAAGCTGTGCAAATATGAGGGGGAGGTTAGCCATGCATCATCTGACAGATGATTGAAAAGTACCAAAGTGCTCTGCTCTGGAAGGCTCTGCAATGTGTTATCAGCATTTCACTTTGGAGAAGTGTATGAATATGGAATATTTTGTTGATCTTAAAGTCATATCAACAAGTAGCAACTAGGGGTCGGTTGAACGCAGCCCTGGACTTTAAAATTGTTGACTGTTTTCCCATCAGCCCGCGCGGCGAGCGGAAGTCAAGCAGCACAACGCCAGACGCCTCTGCAGTGAACATCTAAGTCTAAAATGGCAGGAGCAGAGGGAGACGATTCGCTTTATCCTATCGCGGTTTTAATCGATGAATTGAGAAATGAAGACGTTCAGGTAGACACCAGTCTAAGAGAATCTGAGTTTGATTCATATGTATAAAAAAATTCGCGTTTTATTAGTATCTTCCAGCACTGCCCGCTAACCGTGCAAGCGATTCATTTACAAAAGAAACATCATTTTCTTCTCCTTACTTTCCCCTCAATATTCACTCATGTAGCTGTTTCCAGAAAATTATCAATTTGCATTAAGGTTTTTTTTAGATGTCTATTTGATCCATAACATAAAGCCTGAAGATAGAAGTTGGATCCGGGCATAATAAGCTTGAAATTGACCGGCTAATTCTCAACATTTACCTTGGCGACATTTTTGGGCTGTTAAAACGTACATTAGGATGCCAGTCATTTAGTCATTCTCCAGGTCAGTGTTTCTCGATCCAGGCACTGCAGAGTTTGGTGTCTTTACCTGACAAACCCAGGTCAGGTCTTGAAGCCTTTACTAATGATGTGTGTTACATTTAAGGAGAGGTACTAAACTGTCCTCCAGTACCGTGGATGAGAACCACTGACCTGGATTTTTATGCATAATGTGATGAAACATAACAGGGGGTTTGCATAATTTGTAACTGTTCATGTTATTCTGTGCCCATCCTCAGTTGCGGTTGAACAGTATTAAGAAGTTGTCCACTATTGCTCTGGCACTGGGTGTGGAAAGAACACGAACTGAACTACTGCCATTCCTTACTGGTAAGAAATCCCAGTATTTCTGAAACAAATGAATTGTTAGATGGATCTTATCTTGTGTTTGTTAATCATGGCTCATCTGTGTTATTTTTTTATTTACTTGGCCTGTCAATTAATTTTCATTGTAGTATATTAAAACAATTATTTAGTGCCTTTTTTTTGTAGTATAGAAAATATACTTTTATTCAATTATTTTATAGGTATTTTAGCAAATTTCTTGGGTTTTAATTTGCAATAATAGCTAAAGTTGCGATGTAATGAAATTGGCAACAGATGCTTTCTTCCGTAATGAGATGTACATCTGAATGAAACTGATTATTGAAAAAGAACAAAAATGTAGGACAGGACGTGGTTCAATCCATTGATTGTAAGACCTAGTTAGGGTTTAAATGGACAAAATGATCGGAGAAGTCCCTCATATGTCACCAGAGTCTGTCGTTTTATCAGAAGATCAAGACATTTAGATTAATTTACAAGGCCAGAAATATTATGCATAAATCTTTCACTATAAGATCAATAACATGCATTTGGAAAATAGTGTGAATGAATTATCCAGCTGCAATGCATAAACACATTGAGCCCTATGAATCATACGGAGTTCTCTTTTGGTTCACATGCAATCCTTTGGTATATTAATTAGGCTTTATGTTTGTCCTTTTTTATAAAACTATCATCACGTCCAAAAATAATTTAAACAACTAAGTGTTATGAAATATGTGGGAAGAGAAAATTAATTTTTTTAAATTGTCATATTGTTGTTTATTGACCATTTGTTGTTCTTTCAAAGACCTTGGTCTGTTACACTTGCTTTTGGTTTGTATTACTTACCTAAATATCAATTAGCTACCTGACATCCCTTCATCTGCAGACACCATATATGATGAGGATGAAGTTCTCCTTGCCTTGGCTGAGCAGCTCGGGAGCTTCACTGTACTGGTTGGAGGCCCAGAGTTTGTGAACTGTCTCTTGGTAGGTCACTAAAGGCGAGGTATTTGGTTACTTAATTAAAAATGACCAGATCAGATATTAGTAGGGATGTAACGATTAACCGCGAGCTGGTTGAAAATCGATTTAAATATGTGACGATTCAAATCGTTTGAGATGCTAAACAAATCGCGATTCAATTAGGGGTAGGAGTTTATATAAATGTATGTCTGAGGGGAACTTACTGTCTTTCGATGGTATTTTTTCTTTTCCTCTTGCCTCTGTATAATGCATACTAAAGTTCATAAGTGCAGCGCTGCTTTGTTTACAGCGGAAACCAAGGAACCGCTTTAAGTGCCACCTGATGGCAGAGAGTGAATCTGCGTCTCATTCAGCTCGTCTGCTCTTTTGCATGCAGATATTTTTTTATGATCATGATTAAAATGCAGTGGTTGCCTCTAATTTTAAATGGAAAGAGCACAGAAAAAGTATTTGTTTATATGAAGAGATTTATTTTATTTGTGTTATTTATTTGGGGTTTGTTTTAAAATTTCAATTTAGTTTTGTTATTTACATTTTACATTATATTTAAATTGTTATTTAGCAAACTCTTTTATCCAAAGCGACTAACAAATGAGGACAATAGAAGCAATCATAACCAACAAAAGAGCAATAATATGCAATAATGTGCTATATTATTATAGTTATATTTCAGTTTCACAAAGAAACATACAGTATTTTGTTCAAGCAATAAGAAAAGGACATATTTAATTTATAATTTGTCTTAAAACTAATTTTGTAAAAAAAAATCGTGAATCGAATCGTGAAATCAAAACCGTGAATCAAACCGAATCGTGAGTTGAGTGAATCGTTACATCCCTAGATATTAGCCATAAGTAATCTTGCACTTCTTCTCTCCTCAGCCTCCCCTGGAGAGTTTGGCCACAGTGGAGGAAACGGTTGTGCGGGACAAGGCCGTGGAGTCTCTGCGAAAGATCTCTCAGGAACATTCCCCCGTAGACCTAGAGGTGCATTTTGTACCACTTGTGAAGCGTTTGGCCAGCGGGGACTGGTTCACCTCCCGAACGTCTGCGTGCGGACTGTTCAGCGTCTGCTACCCACGTGTGTCCAGTACAGTTAAAGCGGAAATCCGTCAGTAAGTTTAAAAAAAAAATGCTGTATTTCACGATAGCATGCAACGGTCAGTAAACAAATATGAAAAAACAAAAATGTAAAGAAACAGAATAATTAAGGCTCGGTCAGTTCACAAGGCAAAAGAAAAAACACTTACCAGTTATGAAAGTTTATGAACATCAGGTGCAGCAGTCACATAAATTCTGCAGAGTTTTTGAATGGTTGTATACAACAAGACGATAATTCTTCCATCGTGCAAATTATGGTCATTTTCGTCAGTTAAGGCTCGTTAGCATTCGGCCTGCTTTAAATCAGACACAGATGCAGTGCGGTAAGATCGCATTTATTTGAATTAATTATATCATTTATTTGAATTAGCGAGAGAGAGAGAGGGCTGAAAGTTGCGTGTGTGAACCTGCGTTTGCACGCCTCTCTCTACAAGCAATGAGGCTTAGTTCCTTCAGAAACAACGATTTTACCCCCTCATTGCAGAGAAATATAAAGTTGCGAGTCAGTAGCCTGTCGAAGCTATTTTACTAATAAAAGTTTCCGTGCTGTGTTGTCGTTGCCGTGTGCACTAATGTGTGTGCTTGCGTCTAAGCAGCATAGCCTACTGCATATAGTTTTAGTTTAGCTATAAACCCGAGCGCAACCCGAATTCATTAAACTTTAACCCGACCCGAAACTCGAAAGTATTTCGGGACCTGTCGGGCTCGGGTCTGGTAGCAGACCTCTAGTGCTCTTATGTCATTGATCCAGGCATTTCCTTTTCTCTGCAGGACTCTGTGCGTCTCTTGGCGGTAGAAGCTGGCGTCAGCATTGCTACTCTGCTGCCACAGGAAGACTTGGAGGCTCTGGTCATGCCCACTTTACTTCAGGCCGCCGATGACAAGTCCTGGAGGGTGCGCTACATGGTGGCAGACAAATTCTCAGAAGTGGGTACTTATGAAACGCATATTTGGCCGTTATCCACGTCGCCTCTGAGACTCTGAAACAACTCTGGTTGTTTTTCTGTTTGTGTAAAGTTGCAAAAAGCAGTTGGCCCAGAGATCACCAAGACCGATCTGGTCCCGGCGTTCCAGAACTTGTTGAAAGACTGCGAGGCAGAGGTCCGGACTGCTGCTGCCAACAAGGTGAAAGGTGAGGTGTCCCACTGCCAGCTTCCCAAAGTCTGATGTCTCTATGAAAAGAGCCACACAACAACACCCTTATCCCATGGCCTGTTTATCTCTGCAGTATTCTGTGAAAATTTGCTTGAAGACAGCAGGGAGACCATCATCATGACTCATATTCTGCCATGCGTCAAGGTACACATTTTAATCTCGCCCACTTGTGTATGAAATTGCGTGTGGCTGAACAGTTATGCCGCACGGTGCCGGCCAAGTTCTCAGGAGGGGGTACTTAGAAAACTCAAGCTTGTTTTTTGATAATGTGATATCATATCTGGGAAGGTATCCAGGTTGTCTCTGCAAGAGATCTTGCAGTAGGTCTGGTTGTTTTTGTGTTATTTTGGGGGTGTTTACATTTTTCGACATAAACAAGTGGTAGCTTTAAACACCAAACGTGGCAAAAGCGAAACTAAATAGCGCTTCTCTTTTGAAACCGCGGGCCTTTTATCAGCTCAGCTAAAAAAAAAGAGAGCGTGGTGTGAGCTACATCAAATTTATTTACTGCACTGACCAGTCACGATCACGAGACCACTAAACAGCGCTGTGAGATCTAGTGATCGCGCTCGAGTTCAGCGCAGAGTTCTCCATTACAAATCGCATAGGTGTGCGATTTAAACTAGTTTAAAGCCAAACCATGGTATTGTGGCAGAAAAGTTGAATATTTGGTCCCACTTTATATTAGGTGGCCTTAGCTACTATGTACTTACATTTAAATTATTTTATATTTGATACAATGCACTTATTGTGTGCATGTTTTTACATTGTACTTATATTTTTAAAAATACCTATGTAATTACATCTGTAATTAATTTCTATAATTACATTTATAATTACACGGTTGACCCATCCCTTACACCTTTGCAGAGTTCTCCATTACAAATCGCATAGGTGTGCGATTTAAACTAGTTTAAAGCCAAACCATGGTATTGTGGCAGAAAACATACATTTAAATTAATCATTTGATACAATGCACTTATTGTGTGCATGTTTTTACATTGTACTTATATTTTTAAAAATACCTATGTAATTACATCTGTAATTAATTTCTATAATTACATTTATAATTACACGGTTGACCCATCCCTTACACCTTAACCCACCCTTAAACCTAACCATAGCACAAAATCTGTATTTGCAATACAACATGATGATATTAAATTAATTGTACAAAACATTATTTTGCTAAACTTACCCGTATCCCACCTCAATAGCAGCAAAAGTGTTTTGCGATATAATATGAACACAATAAATACATTGTACTTATTTTTTGATGTAAGTACATAGTAGTTAAGGCCACCTAATTTTTAAGTGTGACCGAATATTCATATTGAATTTTATTATATGAATAATGTACTAAATATATGAAAGGAGTAATGGAATATAATCACAGTATTTTTGTTATTAAGTCATATCAGTTGTTTGTTGTGCATTTGTACTTATACTGAATGTCTTCAGGTTACTGTTTTTCATAGCAAATATTATTGGAACCAAATAGTTAGGCTATTTTTTACCATGGTAGTGAGGTGCTGTACCTGTGGTTATCATGATCTACAGGGCACGCAAAAGGTCAAAATCCCTAGTAGCCCTTCGGGCAGGCATTCTTCAGATTTTGGTAGCCCAAAAATTAATTTAACTAGCCCAATAAAAGATATTGTATTTTTTCTTCAAATAACAAGTCAGGAGAGTATGGGTGCAACGGACCACAAATCTCACGGTTCGGACTATATTACATTATCATATCACATTTTGAGTCACAGATCGGATCATTTTTCAGATGAGCACAAAAAAAAAAAGGTTCTTTATTATTTAAGTAACACTTACTATTTAAAGAACAATTTACTACTTCGATACTACAGCAAAAACTAGTAGCATATAGGGATGTAACTCAACTCACGATGTGATATGATTCACGATGCTGATTTCACAATACAATTTTCTCACAATTTCTTTTGTAACAAAATGAGATTTAAGACCGATTTAAAAAAAGGTGTCCTTTTGTTATTTCTCAGACCAAAAGGCTGCACATTACTTTGTGAAATTGAAAATGTCAAACAATATACTAACTTTACTAACTAAAATTTAAAACAAATCCCGAATCAAATAAATAATTCAAATAAATGTCTCCATGCAAGTAAACTAAGGTTTTGCCTGTGTATTTTAATCACGATCCAAAATAGATGCTGCATGCATGTTATTTAGATTTTAAATTGTAAAAATTTGAAACAAAAACAAAATGGTCTGACTTTAGCTTTGTGATACTATGTGAAAAATCTGAATGAAACAAAAACAGCAGACGGGCTGAATGAGACGCAAATGTCACTCTCTGACAGCAGGTGGCGCTTAAACAGCAGGTATTTATAGGCGGCTGCCCCTTTAAGACCGAATGCACAGATCCAATATAATGATGCACGTGCGATTTCTTTCTCCACTGTTAACGTTCATTTAAGACACGAAAACACTTGCCGAGATAGTTATTTTGAGATAATTTTGCATGTATGTGTCCGTTCAAACGAAAGAGGAATCAATTCTGTGTTCGTGCTCTGCCTGAAACGCCGCTCTCGCGAGCACCGAACTGAATTCTTCATGCGCATGAAATTGGTAAGACTTAGAAACGCGTGTAAATGATAACCTATGACCCGTTTCACCCCTACAAGCGAGTGAACAACGCGAATTAAGGAAGGGGTTTTATTTCACTATTCAAGATAGCCCGTGGGGCAGGGCAGTGGTACATTTTGGTAGCCCGACTGGAAAACACAATAGCCACGGGACGTCGGGCTAGCTATCTTGCGAGCCCTGACTACAAATGTATGAAAGATGAGGCTGTTATAATGTTCACAGGTATTCACAGAAACGGGTACTGTTTTTGTTAATGAAAATAAATGTACATCTGCATCCTAACTCAAGCTCCTGCTACTCTCAACTCAAGCTACTGTCAAATGTGCATTTCTAAAACGTGTAATATTAGTATAACGTGCATATATATATATACACACACACACATACATATATTTACATTTTTATTTATATATATATATATATATATATATATGTGTATATATTAAATATATATATACATATATGTACATAGGGGGGGGCGCCGAGGGAAAAAAGGTTGGGAACCACTGATCTAGCTCATACATCAAACATGCATAAATATATGCAGACTGAGGATTATGCCTCGTCTGTACAGATTATCAGAGTTGACTCATATTTAGGATATCATCAGCAGGTGAGTTCATTCGGATTGTTGTTGAACTGTCCGTCCTTTCTGAGGTGATGGGCAGCAGGGGTCACTGTTGTTATGTTACACCCGTAAGTGATCCCGTGTCAGCTGTCTGTCTTTAGGTTTATTTAGCATCAGCCTAGGATTAGTCTTCTATTATTTTAATTTCCTGGTGTATGCCTGTGACTGACTGAATCATAGTGCTAGAAGAAGTGAAATGGCATTTTATATTAGTGGAGTTTGGTTAAGTTTTACTGTATACAGCCTGAGCTTGCCTTCCTAGTAACTATGGGAAGTGTAGATGTATATACTAAAAATATTTTACTATCAAATAGAATATGTAACGCATGCTTTATTGGAACACAAATGAATCTAAGAAATTTGCAGGGTTTTTTTCCCCCCTAAACAAATTCAGCTGATTAAAATGGAACAAAAAATGAGTCTGATTTATTTTGACTTGATTAATTTTTAACCTTTTGAAATTGTTCTTAATAGTGAATTGGTTTCAGAAATATTCATATATGATTTATAATCGTTTATGAATTAATTTGTTTCCCAGGAGTCTTCATTAGGCATTTTTATGTGTGCCATTAGTAGTTAAATACATATTAATACTGCAGTTAGAAATTGTACAAAAACACTTAATTTTGTAACTATATCTTTTGCCAAAATACTGTCAAACTCTGGTACTTTGATATTAGTCACAAAAATAAATGAATAAAATGACAAAAACGTCACGAACAACCTTTTTTTGCACTGTTTAAAAGAGATCCCATGTTAATTTATAAGGCTGTAGTTCAGTTGATTTGTGAATTGAATCAGTTCAAAAGAATGATTCACCTGTTATACCTGCTTAACATATTGTGTAATATAATGTTTGGTCTTTAACTTTCTATGTATAGTCATTGTCTTATGGAAATGGGATTTTAGAGTAGAGGACAGTTCAGGACAAGCCTCTCTTTTACTCATCTAGACTACAAAGAACAGTGGAGCCTTTCGGTGTTCCTGCTTGAGCTTCACAGGGCGTTCTTTGCTCATGAGTGGCCTGAGAGTCTCATGACCTGATGTTTGATATCTGTTAATAAGCTTATGTAAGCGGATCGTTCTTCACAGATACAAACAGCTTTCTGCTTGCTTAGTCAGCCGATGTGATCGGCAATTAGCCTATACATACAAGCTCTTCGCTGAAACATCAGATCAAAGATAGCTCAGGATTTCAGACCTTCTGTAGCATTTTACAAGCAAATAAATGTCCAGGTTTTCAGGCTCAATTGGATCTCGCCGCCTCCCTCGCTGTGATGCTGTCTTTCTTCAAAGACCCCAGTAATGGGGGTGAGATGTTTAGACACCTAATGAATCAGTTTAGGGAGTCATGGTCCGATTTCAAAACATTTCCAGATACATTTCAGTTTTTTCAGTAATGGCGTAGGTGAGCAGTTTGGGTGGCTTGTTGCTGCATTGTTTTTAAAGTAGACAGAATTACTTATTTAATATACCATACCATATTAAAGGGATAGTTCACCCAAAAATTTAAATTCTGTCATCACCCTCATGTCGTTCCAAACCAGTAAGACCTTCGTTCATCTTCGGAACACGAATGAAGATATTTTTGATGAAATCTGAGAGCTTTCTGACCCTGCATAGACCGCAATGCAACTGAAATGTTAAAGGCCCAGAAATGCAGTAAAGATCGTTAAAATAGTCCATGTGACATCAGGGGTTCAACCGTAATTTTACGAAGCTGCAAGAATACTTGTTGTGCGCAAAGAAAACAAAAATAATGACTTCATCCAACAATTCTTCTCCTCCAAATCACGTCTTAATTATTATTATTATTATCGTTGCTGCTATTAATAATATAATGACCGATAATAAAATAAATATGTTGTTACTGTTAGGAATAGTAACTATTATTATTATTATTATTGTCTTGTTAATAATTATTATTATTTGGCTGTTAATAGTAGTAATAATAATACAAATATTTTATGGATGCTGTTAATAATAATAATACAATTGTTAATGATAATACTGACAATAAATATCATCTTGTTATTGTTATTGTTGCTGCTTAAAATAACAGTGAATAATAATAGTAACAACTATTGTAAAAAATGAGCTTTTATTTATAAAATATTTATTTAAACATTTGTTGTTGTTGTTGTATATTCATTTATTTTCATTCCCTATCCTGCAGTCACCTTGTCTCTGATTACAGCTACTTGTAGAAAAATAGCTTGATTTCAAAGCCCTCAAGCCTCCTTCTCTTCCCTTAACAGGAGCTGGTGTCTGACACAAACCAGCATGTGAAGTCTGCCTTGGCTTCTGTCATCATGGGTCTCTCTACCATCTTGGGCAAGGACAACACCGTAAAACATCTGTTGCCTCTTTTCCTGGTCCAACTGAAGGACGAGGTAACCCACCTGGAGCTCGGCCCAGTCTCTCATCTGTCTGTCTCTATTTCTCTTGTGGTCAAAGATCCTTCTGATTGTACTAGAGCAGAGACACCGCTGTTCATTTTCCAGGTCTGATAGGTCACCTTGTGTTGGGCTTAAGGGCTGTTTGCTAAATTGTCTTCTCTAAGGTCCTTGATTGATGTTCCTTTTATTGGGCTCTTGTCCATGACCACTCTCTGAGTTGTATTAGCTTTTCGATTGTACTAATAAACTCTTAGTCTGTTTTTAAATGAAGTTGAACTTTGGCCTCCGCTTTCAGCAAGACCATGCCAAACCGAAACCCATCAAACTCTTTCCTCCAGTGTTTGTGTTCCCTTCTGTTTTATTGGACTCCTCTCGATTGTCAAACACACCATCTGAAAATGTTAAGAGCTGGATTCTGTGAATTCTGCCCTGAAGTGTATTTCCATTGGCTGCTTATCTGCCCGGCTCTGTTTGACTAACAAACTTTGTTGTTTGGATTTTAGTCAGTCATCACCAAAGTGCACTTGCTCAAGCAAGTCATCAAATATTTGGCAGCATGTATGCGTGCGCTGTAACAATATCACATGAGTGTGGCGTCCTCTTAGAGTCATTTAAGGGAAATATAAAAGATGGAGTCCTTTTGCTTTCAATAAAATTCATTCATACTTAGAAGAAATTATGGGGACTTTAAAGCTATAAAATCATTGATGACTATGTTTACTTTATTTAATACACATTTAATTTGCTGATCTTTTTCTGCAAGTTTCATTGGTGTTGAAACTTATTGTTATTCCTTATGTTAAAGGGTTAATTCACCCAAAAATGAAAATTCTGTCATTAATTGCTCACCTTCATGTCGTTTCAAACCCGTAAGACCTTTGTTCATCTTCGGAACACAAATTAAGGTATTTTTTGATGAAATCCGAGAGCTTTCGGATCCTCCGTAGAAAGCAAAGCAACTGAAATTTTCGAGGCCCAGAAAGGTAGTAAAGACAAATTAGTGGTTCAACTGTAATTTTATGAGGCTACAAGAATAGACCGACACGGAAGAGAAGATATTGTTGAATAAAGTCATTATTTTTGTTTTCTTTGCACGCAAAAAGTATTCTCGTAGCTTCATAAAATTAAGGTTGAGCTACTGATGTCACATGGACTATTTTAACAATGTCCTTACTACCTTTCTGGGCCTTGAACGTGTTAGTTGTGTTGCTATCTATGCAGGGTCAGAAAGCTCTCGGATTTCATCAAAAATATCTTAATTTGTGTTCCGAAGATGGACGAAGGTCTTACGGGTTTGGAACGACAGAGTAATTAATGACAGAATTAAAATTTTTGGGTAAACTAGCCCTTTAAAACAAAATATGTAATATAGTGTATATTACTTTGTCAAAATATTTTATTTTTGTTTAGTGTCCTGGTGTCCATCTGATAAAAAAAAAAAAAAGTATTTAAAAATATAATTTTTTTTTTCTTATTTTCCTGTAGTGTCCTGAGGTGCGTCTGAACATCATCTCTAATCTGGACTGTGTGAATGAGGTGATCGGGATTCGGCAGCTCTCTCAGTCTTTGCTGCCAGCTATAGTAGAGCTGGCTGAGGATGCCAAGTGGAGGGTTCGACTGGCCATCATTGAGTACATGCCTTTGCTGGCTGGCCAACTGGTGAGTCTGCGCTCCACTCAAGATCGATTAGTTGTATCTGGGCGGAAAAGGATACTCACTCTCATGTTGTTCCAAACCATTTGTTTCTTCTGTTGAACACAAAAGATATTTTGAAGAATGTCGTTAACCAAACAGTTGATGATCGCAATTGACTTCTGTTGTATTTTTTCCATACTCTGGAAGTCAATGGCTACCGTCAGCTGTTTGATTACCAACATTCTTCAAAATATCTTCTTTAGTGCTCAATAGAAGAAAGAAACTTATACAGGTTTGGAACAACTTGGTTGAGGAAATGACAATTTTTATTACCCCTATAAGCTCTAAAATGACAGAGTGATTTGGAAACACGTGGGAATGAGAAATGGGTGGATTGTTACTGTATGGATTGCAACTATATCCCAACTTTATTTCTAGGGAGTGGAGTTCTTCGATGAGAAGTTGAATTCCCTGTGCATGGCATGGCTCATTGATCACGGTAGGTTTTCTGAGTCTGACGATTCTCCTGAGTGCCATAAGAAAAAAAGATGTATTGAGTTACTGACAACAATGAACCAGAACCTTTAAACTGTATAATTCAAGCAGATGCATTTGCTTAAATTTGAAGATGGCACAGCAGCAATTGCCTCAGTCTCTCTCCTGTCCTACTCCTTCCCCAAAAGGAGAAAGAGAATTACAAAGCATTCATCTCAAAAAGTTTCTGCTATCAGCCAATTATAAGGGTTTGATAAGATTCTAGCACTCTCTCCCTCTCTACATTTCTCTTGCTTTCTTCCCTCTTCTCTCAATTTCACCTCCATGTGTGTCATTCTGTTCTTATTATGATGTTGTTATTTTTAAGTAGAAAAGGGGTCTGAGACTCTTTAACAAGGTAAAGTGTGTAAATCTCTAAATCCACATCCAAGTCTAAATCCAAGTACAATCTCTAAATACTGTAGTCTAAGACTGCATATTATCAAGAGTAAATTTTTTTATATGATAATTAAAATTAGACTACATGTACACTACTCTTCTACGGTTTGGTGACAATAAGATTAAAAAAATACTCCTTTAATTCTCCTTTTATACAGCAAGGGTGCATAAAAAAAAAAGTAACCGTAAAGACATTTATAATTTAATAATTTTATTTAGAAGAAATGCTGTTTTTTTTGTGCTTTTTATTCATCAAAGAATGAGAAATTGAGATGTATACATCATCTGAAAGCTGAATAAATAAGCTTTCCATTGATGTATGGTTTGTTATGATGGGACAATATTTGGCCGAGATGCAACTTTTTGAAAATCTAGAATCTGAGGGTGCAAAAAAATCTAAATATTGAGAAAATTGCCTTTAAAGCTGTCCAAATGAAGTTCTTAGCAATGCATATTACTAATCAAAAATTAAGTTTTAATATATTTACAGTAGGAAATTTACAAAATATCTTCATGGAACATGATCTTTACTTAATGTCCTAATGATTTTTGGCATATAATTGGCAATAATTTTGACCTATACAATGTATTTTTGGCTATTGCTGCAAATATACCCCAGCGACTTAAGACTGGTTTTGTGGTCCAGGGTCATCTATTTGAATGATTTCTTTAAGATCACTAAAGACAGGAGAAATGGCTGCTGATAATTCAGATTTTATCACAATAGCTAATATCCAGCTTCGTATAGGCGCCACTTTTGTAGAACAGATCAGACTTTTAAATTGCCTGCTGATCTCGCTTTGATTGGCATGTCAGTGGTAATGAATGTTTCAGATTGATGAGCCTCTTAGTAAATCTTCAATTTAATGGTTGTCGGAATGGTTATGATCTCACTTTGAACCATGCGCTGAGTGGATCCATCTGTTGAGGTGTTTTGCACGGTGATTTTCAGCGAGGACCTCGTCCGTGTGCACACACAATTTCACTCTGACACAGTTGTAGACAAAGGGCCAGATGGGTTACATCACTGGAATGTTCTTGTATATCCTGTGCTGCTGGGCCAGTGCTGTCCTCTTACATAAGAGCTCAGAGCCGGAGCAGTCATGTGTAAATGTGAACTCTTTCTGACAAATACACACAGGTACATCTGCAAGAGATACACTGTGTCAAATGGATTGTCTCATTTTTTGTGTGTTTTATAATCTCCATTTAAAGCTTGACCTACTTCATGAAACTGCTCATCATATTTTGGCTGATGTGCAGCATTTTATTTTTTTCATAAGCTCTGTAAGGACTATGGATAGGGTTTTGTCTTGAATTTTAAACTCTAAATAGGATTGTCTCAGACAAATTCCCAGTTTTTTGATAAAGGGGGTTATGTCATCGTCAGACGGATTTCAGAAGAGCCGCCCGTCTGATGTTTAGCAGATTGGTGACGCACAATTTCACAGGATGTTTGTAGATATTTACTCTTCCCAGAATGAAGGTTAAATGGCTTGATTGTGATCTCTATTTGAGTTATTGTGAAGTCAGGTGGAATGTAATCTGTGGAGGTAATGCGGAGCACCAAAACAATGTTGATTATCCTTGCTTGGGTCCAACTGTCGTGCCAGATAATCTGATCAAACAAACTGAAAAATGAAATTCGCAAAGTAAATATTACAAAACAAGTGCATTATTCATATTATATCATCTTTTTAGGAGAAAAATAAGTGGAATGGTGGACCTCTGTTGGATAAGGAGGGTGGTGTAGTGTTGTGGATAAAAATGTGGACTGGTAATGGAAGATTGTAGTTTTAAACCCCTTAAGGGACAATCCATGAATCACTATTGTGTCCTAAAATGGACACAATATTTTTTTTTATTTTATGTACTGATGAGTCTTCTATATGTGACACTGAACCAGCCATAAGGGTCAATTTTTCGAAATTGAGATTTATAAGCTGAATAAATAAGCTTTCCATTGATGTATGGTTTGTTAGGACAATATTTGGCCGAGATAAAACTATTTGAAAATCTGGAATCTGAGGGTGCAAAAAAATCAAAATATTGAGAAAATTGCCTTTAAAGTTGTCCAAATGAAGTTCTTAGCAGTGCATATTACTAATCAAAAATTAAGTTTTGATATATTTACAGTAGGAAATTTACAAAATATCTTCATGGAACATGATCTTTACTTAATATCCTAATGATTTTTGGCATAAAAGAAAAATCGATACTTTTGACCTATACAATGCATTTTTGGCTATTGCTACAAATATACCCCAGCGACTTAAGACTGGTTTTGTGGTCCAGGGTCACATATGACATGTCCAGTTTTCACAATTCTCTTAATCTACAGTAGATGAAGTCCCATGCCATATATGTGTAGAATGGGACTTTGTCTGCTGTAAATGTATTTATTTTTAATGTATTCCTTATTTTAATTTTAATTCATTTTTATAGATGGTTTTAAAATATATTTTTATTTTAATGTAGATTTTTCGGACAAACACACACAATCATTCTTTCTCTACTTTTCTCTAAGTGACAATTTGTTTGTGATACTGAAGAATGTATGTCTTTAGTTTGTATGACACTAGGCTGTATATCTGGTGGTTTGTCCTAAAAATGACATTTATCTAAATGTCAGTTTTCATCTTCATCTCAAATCTCGATCTTCATGTTAGCCTGTGAGTTAACATTAATATCTTTGCCTTGTTCTGCAGTGTTTGCCATCCGAGAGGCTGCCACCTGCAACCTCATGAAGCTGGTGGAGAAGTTTGGAGCAGAATGGGCCCAGAACACCATTGTGCCCAAAGTCCTTGGCATGGCCAATGATTCCAACTACCTGCACAGGATGACCACTCTCTTCTGCATCAATGTAAGTCTGGATGCCCTGGCTGGTGCCTGTTTCTTAAACCTAAACGTTCTCCCAGTTGAAAGTAATTTCATTAATATCTGGTGTTGCAAAATGACAACAAATGAAAGCCTTTTTAAAAAAATTTTTTTTTTTGGGTCAGGCTCTGTCTGAAATATGTGGACAGGAAATCACCACCAAGCACATGTTGCCTGTAGTCCTCAAGATGTCCACTGATCAGGTGGCCAATGTGCGCTTCAATGTGGCCAGGTGCTTACAGAAGATCGGACCAGATTTGGACAGCAGGTATCTTTAAATAATAGCTGCCTGTACCCTTTTGTATCTTGATTGCATAAGCAAACAAACCAGCATTACTAACAATGATGTTTTCAATAGTGCTTTGCAGGCAGAGGTTAAACCAGTCCTGGAGAAACTAGCTACAGACCAAGATATGGATGTGAAGTACTTTGCTCTAGAGGCTATAAGTGGTATATTTTCTTTTATCTCTTTAACCTTTGAAACATGAATCCTCTCAGAAACATTGTTTCATTCTCCCCTATACTGTTTTTTCGCTCTCTCCATAGTTCTTGCCTTGGCTTGACTGACTTCTTCACCACATCCAGTGAAAAGCTGACAACACAAGACCTGTTGCATTATATTTATTGTTCATTTTGAATGATTAAGTATCGTCGTTGTGTTCTTGTTTACTCTCAAAGATATTGAATGATCAAAGGATGGACTTTCTATAAAGTTTTACCTCAAACATTGTTAGCGCAGCTAAGCTCTGCATGCTTGTACAATTACGCATAGCTCTTCGCAAACATCACCCCATGAGCCATTCCAGTGTGATCGTATCGGAATCGGTACATGCCTGCTTCAGCATGCCATTTGCTTTTCTTAGACCAGAGCTCATCCTGCCAGTAGCAGATGGTGCGAAATGCCTGTTTATTTGCTTTAGTAGATTTGCTAGTGCACAGCACATTGTTTACATGTGTTCCCTCTCTAGAGAGGAAAAAAAAATCTCATGTGCTCTCACGGTTTAACCGCAGAGTCCTCCGTGTGCACAGGGCAGATTGTGTTCTGAGCACATGGTTGGATTGCGGTCTCTCTAGAAATTTGCTTTACGCAATGAAGTCACACCTTTATCATGAGCTTTTTCCTTCTAGGGACCATATAATTGAATCAGTTGTGCTGCAACACCGGATGCACGTATGAATCAACATCAATTCACGCCGTTTTGCCTGCATTTTTGCACTCATGTTGGTCATGAATAGCCCCCTTTATAAACTTGTAGATTTTCTTGAACCTTTGTGCCAATGAACTATCTAGTTATAGTACGATTTATCATTTTGTACGTTTTTCAATATACATTGTTCTCTCTTAAGTGGAAGGCATGTTTAAAATGTGGCCGTGTCATAAAATCATTCGGCTGGTTGGAGGGATATTGTCTTTTGTGGGATGTAATTCAGCAATATTCATTGTTACAAACAACTTGCACCTTTGTTCAAGCTCAATATCATGAGAACTTGTAGTTTTGTTTTGTTTTTTAACTCATTTGGGAAATTGGTGTACTTTTGGGACTAAATAAAGTCAGTTGAACTACGTATCCTGCAGTTGTCCTCCTTTGATGTACTCTCACAGACTAATCATTGCATAATTCTAATTGGAATGGGAGTGCGTCACACCGGTTAGTATCGTCTATTAAGAGTTTGTCATCCTATATGAATTTTAAAGATTAATGTGGAATCAGGTTTTTGGTCTCCTGATTAACTGTTTTCTACAGTTACCTGGCTAGTGAACTTATCGACAGCATTGGATTGCGTGTTTTCGTCACTGAATTTGGCAGGAACTGGTGGTGCTGCTCTCTGGCACGTCTCCTGAGTATCAGATGTCTTAAGCAGAATTATTTCAAAGGCTGTAAAAACTCTTAGGATGGATTTGTGACTAATCTATTTGGAACAAATTTGAACAGCTCAGTAAGTTATTAGTGAGGGTAGCAAACTCCTGTATCACTTGAATTTGGACCCTTACAATTCTTGAGGCATGTAGTCATAGATCAGGCTGACTTTAGCTCAATGGTTTGCATGGGTATTTAATACCGTCTCATTACCTGAACCTAAATGTGGAGATAATGGACCATTAGTGAGTTGTCTAAACCTCAAATTAATGTCATTAGCAATTACTCTTATAAATGGCCACGTAGTATATTATAGCATGTAAAGCAGAACTAAAAGTGATGTGGACCTCTGTCTTGAAGAAAGTGGATGTTCAAGTCACAGCTTTTTAAGCTGCACTATCATCAGTGTTAAGTCTGTGTACTTCCTGTGTAGCTGAGATGGGCTATTGTTGCCAATTGTTTTCAGATGTTCATGCTTGTGTTTAAGCAGAATTATTCAATGGCAGCTGTGCTGAAGATGGCTAATAATCACTTTGTTTAAACATGCTGAAATTCAAAGACTGATGGCACTGAGATGCGGTTACTCCCAAAATGCTGTTTGTTTCGATGACTCTCCGTTACAACATCATTCAAATGGTTATTTAAAGGAAGCCCAAATCTACCATTTCTCCATTCTTACACAAGGTGTTCCCCAAGGTTAAGTACTTGGAACATTTATCTTTTCTTCACTTTCGTTTCTCTGAGCTGATATCATCTATCAACATGGTCTCAACTTTCACTACTACGCTGATGCCATTCAAATTTCAGCACTGGCTGAATCACCACTTCTATCAGCTTCCTTGCTGCATCTATCTGTGGCATCAAACACTGGATGAGCTCTAACTTCCTGAAATTTGGCTATTGTGTGATGATGAGTCAAAGAGTCAACATTCAAGTTTAAGGTCTCTAAAAACTATATCTAGGTGTTAGTTGACTCATCCCTCTTTTTAATATGGAACTTGTTTTTAAGATACTATTTTAATCTGCATACCATTGTCTGAAACTCACCATGACAGGCCGGATTGAACAAACATGAACAAGCTAAGCTAATCATGGCCTTCAAGATGACTTCAAAAATTACAGGCATCCTGCATCAATAATGCATTAGCCTTTTAACACATTGCTTGAGGAAATGTCAAGTGTATTTCTGTTTGCAGTTTTGACCATGGGTTCAAATTAACTTTAAAGTTGACTTCAATCAGAAGACAACAAACAATGCAACCAACTCACAAAGACCAACATTCATTGACATGAGGACAACTAAACCTCAGTTGCCTTGGATTGAGATTTTTTTTAAAGGTTTTACAAAAACAATTTTCTCTCTGGGAGACCTTACGTTTTTATTCCTCTGGCTCTGAACATACAAATACCAATGTTATTTGTAATACTATATATTTAATTATATCTGAATATTCTGAGAATATGTAAAGACTCTAATTGTTACATACATTATTAATCACTGTAGCAGTTCTTGTTTCATTATATTGTAACATAAATTGTGTCAACATTTTAGTTTGTGCTAAACAATTAATTGAGACATATTAGTTATTACAAAATGATTATCATATTTGTCTAAACATGCAGAAAAAACTGCTGCAGGCTGATGCAATTCAAAAGACATTGGGCCTCATTTATCAATCTAACGTAGAAACGAGCGCAGATCTGTGCGCACAAATCAACTTACGACAGAGTTCATGTGTGATTTATGAAACATTCGTATGCCGGCGATCTCATCGTCCGAATGATCGCATGTTGGTAAATGTGGCGCCAGAAAACAATCGTCATTTGAATATCACGCCCCTAAAAACACCCTGAATTGAAACGGTCTGATAGGGAATGGAACGTTTCGTAAGCAGCAATGCACATAATTAAACCCCCCAAAAACGGCATTAATTTGTTTAATTGACTAATGTAACCCGAAATACTTTGTGATTTCTATTATTTTTTGAGGGCTTGAAAGAGGCTGGGTTTTTTTGTTGTTGCATTAAACTGCTTTTCAATAGTTTTTCTATCTTTTTTTTTTTAGTTGAACTCCTTTTGAAATTGCATGAACCATAGCTATTACAAGTGACTTTTCTTTGCTATTCAGAGGTACATCTGAGTGAAACAGCTTCTCGAATGAGAAAAAAATTAGGGCAGAACTTGATTTTGTGCATCAGTAGTTGATTGGATTGTTGTTTAGTAATTGTTGCAATGTTTTCATGTGAGTGGCAGATTGCACATCACGGAAGAGTAATGTCATAGACCTTAGTCTGGACAATGCCTGATTACATTTTTGACAGGAATGAAACCAAGCCTGCAAATTTTAATTCCTGTCAAAAATGTTGGGATAGAAGTGGGTTAAATAGTTTTCAATGGATTGTAATGTTGCACCAATTGTTGAAATCGGAACCCTTTCACTTTTTAGGGTTTCTCAGAAGTGGAAGTCATCATAGAACTGAAAACGCCAATGTTTTTTTGCGTTCTTATTTGCTCAAATAGCAAAAACAAACAAACAAACAACAAAACTCCACGATAGTGATTTCACGCCTTTCAGAAAGAGGAAAAAATAGAGAGATTGATAACGGTAGACAGAAGAGAGAATTGTCAAATCCATCCCTCACAGCCTCATTTCCATCCACATTAATTTTTTAAGTGCACATGAATTAAAATAGATGTGCACGGACGAATAATTTATAATAAATACCACAATATTCAATAAAAAAAAATCGATTATGTTTTAATGGTGACTTTATCTTGAGCGCCGCTCTTTTTAGAAGACACCGCAAAAGCGAGACACCGTAAAAGCAGAGTTGCCAAGTCCGCGTATTATACGCGACTTTGGGCTTCCTATTTTGTAAAGTTGTAAAAAAGTCGCGGGTTGCGGGTTTTTGGTCTTATTTAAAAAAAAAAAAAGTTGCTTGTTAGGAAAACCTGGCAAGCAACTTCTTTTCTTTTCATTTATGTTCACTGTATTCTCCAATACGTTGCTTGACACTCTGTCTGCTCACAGTTAATAGCCAATCAGTGCAAAAATATAAGTGCTGTAGCGTGATTTGTCAAATATTCCGCCCCCTCTGCACGCGCCTTCTTTTTGAACGTGATTTTTCTTGAATGAGGGATTGAAGCGACGATAGTAGTAGACGTCGAGGAGTGGGATGACTTTTTCCCTTTATAAGGTAGCCTAATTTTTAATTTTTACAATGTTTTTGTAATGTACTAATTATCACGGGCTGTAAAAAAACCAAGTAGGCCTATACTAATACTAAGAGTAGATTTGGTTCGAATAGCCAATATTTTAGTAGGCTATAAATATGTGGCTATGTTACCGCTCCCATTTGAAGCTCTTGTGTTTTTCTGCTTTTCCATCTGTCCAATCCTATTCTGCTCACAGGTGATTGGAGATGAGTTTTGTTCCTGCTTTGTTGCAGTTTGCTGATTTTTGTCAAATAACTTATGTCAAAACTCCACGATAGTGATTTCACGCCTTTCAGAAAGAGGAAAAAATAGAGAGATTGATAACGGTAGACAGAAGAGAGAATTGTCAAATCCATCCCTCACAGCCTCATTTCCATCCACATTAATTTTTTAAGTGCACATGAATTAAAATAGATGTGCACGGACGAATCATTTATAATAAATACCACAATATTCAATAAAAAAAAATCGATTTTGTTTTAATGGTGACTTTATCTTGAGCGCCGCTCTTTTTAGAAGACACCGCAAAAACGAGACACCGTAAAAGCAGAGTTGCCAAGTCCGCGTATTATACGCGACTTTGGGCTTCCTATTTTGTAAAGTTGTAAAAAAGTCGCGGGTTGCGGGTTTTTGGTCTTATTTAAAAAAAAAAAAAGTTGCTTGTTAGGAAAACCTGGCAAGCAACTTCTTTTCTTTTCATTTATGTTCACTGTATTCTCCAATACGTTGCTTGACACTCTGTCTGCTCACAGTTAATAGCCAATCAGTGCAAAAATATAAGTGCTGTAGCGTGATTTGTCAAATATTCCGCCCCCTCTGCACGCGCCTTCTTTTTGAACGTGATTTTTCTTGAATGAGGGATTGAAGCGACGATAGTAGTAGACGTCGAGGAGTGGGATGACTTTTTCCCTTTATAAGGTAGCCTAATTTTTAATTTTTACAATGTTTTTGTAATGTACTAATTATCACGGGCTGTAAAAAAACCAAGTAGGCCTATACTAATACTAAGAGTAGATTTGGTTCGAATAGCCAATATTTTAGTAGGCTATAAATATGTGGCTATGTTACCGCTCCCATTTGAAGCTCTTGTGTTTTTCTGCTTTTCCATCTGTCCAATCCTATTCTGCTCACAGGTGATTGGAGATGAGTTTTGTTCCTGCTTTGTTGCAGTTTGCTGATTTTTGTCAAATAACTTATGTTTTTGCTTTTCAGATAAAAGGGTAGTTTCACTTTAATATGTTGCGGGATCATTTATTGGTAATAAATATTTGATAATAAATAATATTGATGATAAAAATTATCAAAAAAATATTGGCCTTGTTTTTGAAGCTGCGGTTGCTTATTTGTCTCGCGAGAGTTGGCAACAGTTTGCAAAAGGCGCAATTTATGTAACGGTCAGGCATATCCGTCTAGCGCTACGTTCATACTGTCAGTTTGGGTTTGACAACCGCAGAAATTACTCGTTTACACAGCAGTTTAGAGGAGTGACTAACGTCTGTATGAACAAATACCTAAAGTCAAGCAAAACTGACGGGAGCAGCTCCGGTGGAAGACCGTGACTGGACCTCAAACCTTCAGATGATGACAGTTAACAGATGAAGTTAAGTTACCGAATACACACATCAAAACCATAAAAAGACGCCTGTGTGTAGTGAAATTCCCCCAGATAAAACAAACAGGCACAAACCTTTTGTTCAATAAATCTTTTTTAATCTTAACAGCACATTAGCTTATGTGTGGTCAACAACCATGAAGGTAAATGCAGAATTGTAGGATGTCTAAGGAACCGTGTTCGCCAGCAGAGGTGTGATTATCATATATGGCAACACATTCACTAATCTTCTTTCTGAACTATTCATAAGAAATATTGCTATTAATACTTTTCAACGGCATATACTGATTGACCAAAAAAAGCTAACAAAAAAACAGCACTGTTACGAAGCTGACCAAGAAGCTCCAAACTCCACACGGTGGGGTTATACAGGAACACTTCTGAGGGGACTTTGGTTTTGTACCTTTGTAAAACCTGGGTCTACATATGTCCTGTAACAATACCAACAGAATCAAACCGAGAAACTAAATTATTAAAGAACAATTCACCCCAAAATAAAACTCTTAACATCATTTACTCACCCTCATGTCACTCCAAACCTGTATATGAGCCATTTTCACGATACTTTCATCATTCTTTTGCATTCTTTGTGATGCTTGAAAGTGTTTCACAGACGAAAGTCATCCATACAAGTTTGGATTGACATGAGGGAGACTAAATAAAGACAGAAATGTTCATTTTTAGGTGAACTATCCTTTTAGGATCTTAACTTAAAAGAACAAAGAAAAAGGCACACGGAACACTATCACATTAAATACAAAATTTGTTGCATTTTGAAAGCACTTTCAAAGTTTCTAATCCCTATTTTACACAAAACAATCACCAAGTCGTGCTCTCTCTGCATCCTTCTTTGAGAGAGCGCTGGAGCACGTTACTAGAAAGAGATGAATTTTGTCTCTTACTTGACTAAACTAGCAGAGCAGGTTCACCTCATCCATCTGCCGTCTCCTCCGCTACATTTCCTTTAGCTTGCTTGACAAAGTGCTCCAGTATATTATCTGCCTTAAAACGTGTTCTGTTACAAAGCCCCGAACCTTGTGATCAGTTTGCGTGATGATCATTTTCTGTAGAGTATCTAATATCCGAGTTTAGTCACAGACTTGTCATTTCAAGTAGAACAGATTCACTAACTGCTGCTAACAAAAACAATCTCTGTTTTGTGTTGTAAATGCAATGAATTGGCCAAACTATCCAGTGTCTTGTGACTAAACATAAATGCTGATGTATTCTTTAGTGTAAAGGGGTAAATACCACCAAAATAATAAGAATTGAATTCTAAATCATTTAAACGCATACCAACATCGCCCATGGAGTTGATGTCACCTGACTTATAAACCACTCCTTATTAACCATCACCATGTAAAGAGAGTAATGACTCATCTTTCACAGTGCGCCAATTCTGAGGAACTGCGATATTAGCAAACAAAATAACACTGTTGCGGTTTAAGGAGAGCAGATTGTTATTTTTAGGGCCTTTAGGATGAGCGTGAGGAGGGAATCCAGTGAAAAAAGATCAAAATCACAGCTTCGTCCACAAATATCTGCGGTTTTGGCCGTTTAAAAGTTGAGAAACATCTGGTGATAGCAGTTTTGGGTGGTGCAGTTCCAACCTATGGCTTCATTTTTTCAGTTCCAGATGAATCAGTATATTGCTTCAATATTGCCAAGTATTTTTATCTAACATTGCACTTATTGAGTGCGCATGACTAGTCTTTCATAATCAAAGTCAGACGCTTTGAGTGATTTTGTTCAGTACAAAACATGTCAATATTTAATTGTGCTGTCGAGCAGGCTCCGTATTGCAGATCTAGGCTGTCTTTGTGCTACATACGGTGCGTAGCGAGCAGCTCCTATCCTGCAGTCGGTTCGGAGGCGAGAGGAGGTGAGCCCCCGATGCGGCTGGCCCAAACGCCACACCATCCGGCACTCTATTGTGAGAGAGCAGCAGGTGGGACCACTGGAGAACGAGAAGGGAGGTAGGGAGGAGTTTCGTGAAGTATAAAGATTACAGCTCACGTTTGCCACAACCTAAACGTCGAACGTACAAAACTCGATCCGTCCCTGTGACGTCATCTCATCTGTCAATTCATCCGTAATGAGTCAGAAATCAAGGTAATACTGGTTATTCGAGTCTCGGCTTAGTTCACCAGCACAAAACCATGCTGGGAGTCCACTGTCTCCATTTCGCTGTCCAGAAATGGGTCAGCCAACACCCGCCCTTCGAACCCAGTCGCTCCACCCTCTGCAGGTGGAGGCGGCTGCCCGAGATCCAGCGGATAGTCGTATTGCTCCGGATACAGCACTTCTCCTGTGGCGGAGTGGCTTGGATCGCAGGCTGGGTAGGTGTAGTTCAGGGGCTCTGGCTGTTGGGGATGCAGCTGAGCGGAGAAGCTTTGTGGCAGAGGCTGCATCTGAGCATAATGGCCCAGGTAGGGTTCATAGGTCAGGGATTCTGGGTTAGGCTCCATTAGGGGGCCAAACGGCTGTGTGTGTGCAAACTGAGGTGAGGCCTGGGGGCTCTGTGTCTGCTGATGTGCTGGTAATATCGAACCCTGTGGCTGAGGTGGGACTCCGGAGTCCTGGTGGCCCATGGTTGCACAGGGAGCATAAGGGTCCTCCACAATGTGCATCTGGTTGAAGTAGGACTGCATTTGGGATTGTTTCTGAAGATACAGACGTTTCTGTTGCAGCCTGCAGATCAAACACAAGGGGTTTAACAGATGGATCACTGGTTTGACATCAAGGGAAAGTTTGTTTGTTTGTGTTAAACGCCATGCCGGCTTCTGTGGCTATTTTCATGGCAAGAAAAATGTATAACAAGTTCACCCAAAAATGAAAATTCTGTTGTTAATTACTCACCCTCATGTCGTTCCAAACCCATATGACCTTCATTCATCTTCGGAACACAAATTAAACTTTGTGCGTGCTGCATTAACACGTGCATGCATTGTTTACACAAAGCGGAAGCAAGCGCATGCGTCGTGATACTTTCCACAATGGTGGTGCACCACTGCAGACGGGATGAGGAGGAGAAATATTGTTGAATAAAGTCATTATTTTAGTTTTCTTTGCACACAAAAAGTATTCTCGTAGCTTCGTAAAATTACAGTTGAACCCCTGATGTCATATGGACTATTTTACCGATGTCCTTACTAGGGATGTGTGGGTCTAGTCAACTAAACTGTACAGCTCCTACTAGTCGACACTGAAAACTATAGTCAATTACACGACAGAAAAAGAAAAAAAAAAATCAATCATCATTCAAATTACCATCCTTTTATATTATTTGAAAAATGCAAAATTTTTACCTCAGACCTTGCATGAGTTTTCTTCGTGTCAGTTGTGGCGAGATCAAAAGTGACCACGTGAAAGACGACAAGGTGTGGGATTATTTTGAAGTAGAAGGAAACAGAAAAGTTTTGTGTAAACTGTGTAATGTCAAATTGGCTTACAATAACTCTACTGGAGCGATACGTAATCATATACAATACAGGCATGTAGGCATTAGCTTAGAGACTAGCCAAAGCCAGCTAATGTCAATCACGTCATTCACTACAGCCCGCCACCGCTGCGATCCCGTCCGCGCTGTCTATTCCTCTAATGAAGACCCACTTCGGTGGTGCGGGATGTCCTGGCACTTTCCGAAATTCTGTTGGCTTGCTTTTCGTTATCTCTGCGTGCCTGCGACTTCAGTTCCTGCAGAGCACATTTTTTCAAGTGCAGGAATTGTTAATCGCCTCAGGTCCTGTCTTTCTTTTTGTTCGTTTTGTTTTTAGATGATATAGCCTACATGATGAAGTAGGTTTTTAAAAGCCGTTTTAATGCTATTCCTTGATAAAAATTTCCTATTGTTTTTGACTTGTGTTTTAGCTAATATGTTGGCTAACGTTATATGAAGATGAAGAATTCTGTCAGGCTATTGACTGATTTTCCATTGTTCTGAATTTCCCCAGCTGATTTTAATAAATTAGCATTGGCTGATGTTGAGTGTGTGTCCTTCTTTTTTAAATGCGCCTAAAATTAAATGATGATAACGCAAGGCAAGCGTATGGCATAATAGTGACCTATTTTTTTAGCAGAATTCATCGAAGGATCTGACAGTGTGATTCATAGATTAAGTATTTTTAAAATGCAGGCTATTATATACACGCACGCACAAAGTTTTTTTTTTTTCTTACCATCTTTTGGGGGTTTCTTGCTTTTAGACTAATCGACTAGTCGTATACAAAACTTCCGTTAAAACGACAATCAAATTAGTCGTCGCACACATCCCTAGTCCTTACTATGTTTCTGGACCTGGGAACATTTCAGTTGCTTTGCGGTCTACGGAGGATCAGAAAGCTCTCGGATTTCATCAAAAATATCTTAATTTGTGTTCTGAAGATGAACAAAGGTCTTACGGGTTTGGAACGACGTGAGGGTGAGTAATTAATTACAGAATTTTCATTTTTGGGTGAACTATCCCTTTAACGGTGTTAAAAATCTCTTCGAAAGAGTTAACTGAATAAAAAAAAGTTCTCACAGGGATAAAACCAGCACAGTCTAATGAAACATGCTTCAGAGATAAAGGATTTCACATCAAGGCAAAGCAGAGTAAACAGTAGTACCTGTGTTCCTGCAACTGCTGCTCCAGACTGCGAGGAGTTTCTATGCAGAACATCTGGCAGCTGCTGGGGCTGTTGGCCATCAGTGTGGCTTTCTATAGAGATATACACAATGTCAAGGATTTTGAAATGCAGAGCTGTATAAATCATTCTGCACTGCCATGAACATCTTCAGAAATACTGCAGTGAACTTGTGGTCTTTTATCACTTTTATTGATAGCAATAGCAGAAAGAGGACAGAAAATGGAGAGGGAGATACAACACAAACAGAGAATGTTGCGAGTCAGATTTGATTCCATTTGCTAACCGCTAAGAGTATTAAATAATAAATTACATTATCTGCAAATGTCAAGAAACTACTACAAAACTCACTGACAAAAGGTATTGTGTGCAGCTGCTGGCATGGAACTATGTGGTTTCTAGGGTATTCTTGGTGGTTGGTAGGATCTTGCTATGTGGTCCTTCCACCAGGTGAGATAAAGCAGTAGTAATAGTTATGTCTGTCATAAAGTATTATTAGTAACCAACTCATAGACCATGAGGCTTTGGAATTGTGCTTTATTAGTGTACACACATCTCAGATGAGCATTATTTAGATGATGTTGGCAGAAATAAAGGTGCGTCACCTGTATTCTGTGAGAGAGGTACTGCGGCTCCAGACTCTGTCTCCTTGACAACAGTGCGGGGTGTGTTCCACCTGAGAACAGAGCCATGTCGTGGTGGTGACCTCTTTCCTCCTGCACAAACCATACGTACACACAGAAAACATGTCAGTGCCTCGCTAGGAAGCCACATTGATGGCTGTGCACTCAAATGCATGAATTCATTACTTGGTTATGAAAAGGCTGAATAGCTGTCCGCTGACCCAGAGGGATTCTGGGAAAAACATGCCAGTCTGCTTCAGTAGCTAATCCTTACAATGCCACATGCCTCTAATGGAAGATAATTTTCATTGCTTTTTTTCTGCTATATTAGCCTAGTAAAATGAACTCGATTTAGAGCAGATTTTCCCCCATCAGACTTTATCTAGACATTGGCGCCTGCACTGCGCCGGTATCCCTACGTGTTATTCCCATAAGTATTTATTTATTGATTCATACTAAATCTGTCTTTGGTGAGTCTGCATTGGAGCATTGGGCACCAGTCACCAGCCTGTTACTCAACAATGGCTGCATTCAGGGGGCTTACCGGATGGACAGTAAACAACTGACAATTGGCTGCTTCTTCTCCCGTAATTACATAAGCGGGGCTGTCTGTGTGTCAGTAGGGAGGTTAGAAGGGTAGAAGAGTTCAAGTAAGGGCATTCTGATACTTTCCAACCAAAGTAATGCACAGTGCTTCTTGGAGTTATGCATTTCCCAAAAATGGAGATTGAGAGGGTTTTGGTACCCAGGACACCCCAGCATTAAGGCCCTTTCCCATGACTCCAGTGAATTGAATTTTATGCATATTATATATACATATATATATATAAATCAGTAATAGAGTCAATAGAATAAAATAATTTAAGAAAAGTTTTTAATTTCAATCTATTTTAATTATTTTACTTAGAAATATATTATCAGTATAACAAATTTGAGTGTCACATGATCCTTCAGAAATGAGAGAGAGAGATAAACAGATAGTAAATATATATATAAATCTTTACAATAAATACAGACCTGTTTATTATTTCTCATGTTTTAAAACTAGGACTTAATAATTTTGTCAGAATCCATGACTTTTCCATGACTTTGGAGACAATATTCATGACCTAAATGTTCCATTATTTTACAATAAGAATAAAAATCTGTTCAAATTATCATAGCATATGTTAACTAAAATGAATGACTATTAATGCTACTCGTTTGCTTTCTTGTTTTAGTAATAAGTATAAGCTGCAACTGCGCCAGACGTTACTCCACATTTCACATATCACATCACTGAATATTATCATTTATTTAACTGTGGCCAGGATGGCCATTTTGGTGTCATTTTGTGTGTATTTTTGCTGCTTAAATGCAACAAGCTGCACTTTAGAGCCCTGCATTTCAGCCCGAGCCCATAGAGCCCAACGGCCCCAAATTATGTATGGCTTCGGGACAATTTTCACATCATAGCTCAGACACGGGCCAGGCATCAGGCTTGCTTCCTCCTTATGTTTATATTTTAGATATCCATCAATTATTATGGGGATGACAAAGATTTGCCGCGCTCGTGGAAACAACACGAGACCATGCTACCGCGACTGTCAAGAGTGGCTCGGACGGTGTTTAGTGTCCAGCAGCAGCGAGTGCTGGAAGAGTT